AACAAATAATTCAGTTAATAAGAACTTCTGTAGTTGATCAACACAATGTGCTGTGCATAGTTGTTCAGTTGTGTCTGACTCTTTGCACCCCTATGAACTGTAGCCCGCCAGGCTCCTCTGTCCATGGGGATTCTCCAGGCAAGAATACTTGGAGTGGGTTGCCATACCCTCCTCCAGGGGATCTTCCCAACCCAAAGGTCGAACCCAGGTCTCCCATACTGCAGGCAGATTCTTTACCATCTGAGCCACCATTCTTTGTGTGTGTGTGTGGTAAAAAAAAAAAAATACACAACATGAAATCCACCCTCTTTACAAATGTTTCAGGGTACAATACAGTATTGTTAACTGCATGCACATTGCTACTCTTAACAATGGTTCTGAGGTTTTGAGTCAATCGTTGCGTCTTCAAAGGAGAATCTAATTTTCCTTAGTAAAGTGATTTTTTAATAAATTTTTTAAAAATTAGTAATAGCCTAAACCAGATAGCTTAAAGTAGCATATTCTGACTGGTGATCTAAATTAAAAGGAAAATAAGCTACTATATATAAAATAAACAACAATATCTTACTATATGGCATAGGAAACTATAGTCAATATCCAGTAATAAACCATGAAGGAAAAGAACAGGAAAAAAGTGCATGCATATGTATGTATAAGTGAATCACTTTGCTGTATACCAAAAGTAACATAGTGAATCAGCTATACTTCAATAATAAATAAATTTTTTAAAATCAATAAATATATATTTGTTTAAAGCAAAAATTTATCACCTTCAATTAATTTGTGTAAAAAGCAAATGAATCGAGATGAAGAATGGATCTTCAGGGCCGAACAATTTGAATGAATATGGCCATTTGGTTACATGTTTAATAAACAGGATCATCAGTAGGATGGCCTATTTCCAAGGTCAAGGAGGCAAATGGGGTCAAAAAAGAGGAGCTGAGTTTGCAGATCCAGGAAGCAAAAGCTGAGCTCTGTGGTGAGGGAGGAACAGGGAACTAAAGAGTGAAATCACCGAAGAGAAACTCCTTGACGTTATGATATGAATCAAATAGCTTTGTGCCTTACCTATTGAAGGGAATGTCAGGTAGAGACAGGATTGGTTTAATTTAAACAAGAGAAACTTCTTAGAAATATTTTAGACCCCATCATTGCAAACTGAGACAATATGCTGAGTCCTTATGATCCAGTGCAAAGCTCGTCCTTTCTACCCAGAGCACAACTGACTACAGACATCCCATACAGCTAATGTTATTACTGTCTCAACTCAACCCATTCCTGTTGGATAAATATTCCATAATAGGCCAGTACTCTTTGTGTAATGATTTATTCAAATACTTGTCTAAAACTTACAATTAAGGATCCCATAGTTATCACTTCCTTTAACTGTATACAGTGGATGACTCCCTGGGCCAATTATTTTTCCTTTATAAGGGTTCCTTGTCCTTCTATTTTAACAGCAGGGGACACCTGTCTAGAGAATCATGGGCTTCCCTGGTGGCTCAAATGGTAAAGAATCTGCCTGCAATGCAGGAGACCCAGATTCCAACCCTGGGTCAGGAAGACCCCCTGCAGAAGGGAATGGCTACCAACTCTATTATTCTTACCTGGAGAGTTCCAGGGACAGAGGAGCCTGATAGGCTACAGTCCATGGGTGGCAAAGAGTCAGACATGACTGAGTGACTGTCACTTTCCTGTCTAGAGAAACTTGCTCATTTGTCATAATTAATCTTCATCAAAAAGACTCTTGCAGAGTCTAACAGTATGGGGGATTGTTTTTTGTAATACACAAAATAGATATAAAAACACAAAAGAAACAGAGCAACTTTCAGGGCAACTTTCAAAGCCTTAAAGGAAGGACTTTCTTGGTGGTCCAGGGACTTAGACTTCACTCTCCCAGTGCAGGAGGCCTGGGTTCGATCCCTAGCCAGGGAACTAGAGCTCACATGCTGCAACTAAGAGTTTGCATGCTGCAACTAAAGTTCCCACAGGATGCAACTGAAAGATCCTGCATGCTGCAATAAAGATCAAAGATCCCTGTGCCACAACTAAGACCAGTGCAGCCAAATAAATAAATAAGCCGACAAAAATTAAAGGAGAAGAGATCTTTTTTTGGTGGGGGGAGGACTTGCCCTACAGCCAGCGGGGTCTTAGTTTCCCAACCAAGGGTGGAACCAGTGCCCTCGGCAGTGAGAGCAAGGGGTCTTAACCACTGGATCACTAAGAAAATCCCCCAAAACATCTTTAATATCCAAATACTACAACCAAACCGTGTGCATCCTCTGTCCATTGTTGCTCCGTTGCTCCCTCATGTCTGACTCTTTGTGACCCCGTGGACTGCAGCACGCCAGGCTTCCCTGTCCTTCATTATCTCCCTGAGTTTGCTCAAGCTCATGTCCATTGAGTCAGCAATGCCATCCAACCATCTCATTCTCTGTCAACCCATCTCCTCCCACCTTCAATCTTTCCCAGCATCAGGGTCTTTTCAAATGAGTCACTTCTTTGAATCAGGTGGCCAGAGTATTGGAGTTTCAGCTTCAGCATCAGTCCTTCCAGTAAATATTCAGGGTTGATTTCCTTTAGGATTGACTGGTTGGATCTCCTTGCAGTCCGAGGGGCTCTCAGGGGTCTTGTCCAGAGCCATAGTTCAAGAGCATCAGTTGCCAGATAATTAGGTCATTAAGATCCAGAGAAATGACTATTTTGTTGTAAGGTTCTGATGTGACATTCACAGATAGGTCTGTGATAAGGGGGGGAAAATCAGCAAATTTGTTATTAGAGTTTATGATGAGTCTTTGTTCACACTTCAGTTTTCATGTCACTGTGTCCATGAGAGTAATATGGACCAAGCACTGGGGGTGGGAATGGAAGCGGGACCTCCCTGATTTTCAGGTATGGTTCTGGATGCTTCTAGTCTCCATCATTCCTTAGGGAGGAGATCAAGGACCCAGGTGTGAGGTCTGGCCGAGAGAGCCTGTTGATACTGTGAAAGCTGATGTCTTTCACAAACCCTGGTGCCCTTTAAAAACATGACTCTGCTTCCCGGACAATCCTTTCTTATAAAAATCATCTATCTTAAAAAGTTTCTCACTTGCTTAATTCATGCCTACTTATAACCCTGAAAAATTTTTGATGTTGGCCTTTGGTGGAGCATGGTAGGATATGTAATAAAAATAAAATTTGTTTCCCTCCCACCAATGCTATGAAGCAACTACTATAAACAGTATGTTACATTAATAATATGTTACATTTAGAAAGCAGACTATACAATATCAGCACAGCATATTTTCAGTTGCATGTTTAAAATATTCATGCACAGAGGGGAAAAAAAACCAACATAGGGCATATACCAAAGTGTTTATAGTGTTAATCTGGGAAGTGGGATTGTGGGTGTATTTCTCTCCTTCATTTTTGTTTTTTTCTTTTCTATATTTTCTAAGTGTATAATGATAAACATGTATTAATTTGAAAGGGGTAACATTTTAAAATTGGTTTCCAAGTACTTTACCAGTTGAAAACCCTGACAAATTTTGAGGCAACATGTTAAAAGTCTAGGCTGTTCTGTCTCACATTGCAGCCATTGTAGCCGCTAGTCCCAAGTGGACAGTGTTAATTATATTTATATTATTTAAAGGAAAATTAATTTATTCACCATTTAATTATTCAGTCATATTTGCCACATTTCAAGTTTCAGTAGCCACATTTTCATCATACAGAAAGTTCTATTCCACAGTCCAGATGGAGACAAGTTAGCAAACTATGCCAGTTACCAAACTGTGCCAATTTGCAGTGGCAAAGGGCAAAGGAATGGTCCTCTTTATTACTTATTATTATTACAGTGTCACTCATTATAGACACTGGCAGAGTCCTCATCCTAGGTCCCTTTATATACTTCACTAATCTTTGGCCCAGTGAGCTAGAGATTTCTCCCACAGTCATCTGGGTGTTGTGGCAAGGTTGGGAACCCAGAGCAACTCACTCCTGTGGCATAACTGTTACCTCCTTATCATTGTGACCATCTTCTCCAGAAAACTAAATCTTCCCAAGCTGTACTTCAGTTCAGTATCATTTCATAGACATTTTTGAAAGCTAACAATGTGATAGACACGGTAATAAGCCTTGAATATGGAAAACCAGAGACTTGCCTTGTGGCTCAAACAGTAAAGAATCAGCTTGCAATGCAGGAAACCCAGGTTCAATCCCTGGGTTGGGAAGATCCCCTGGAGAAGGGAATGGCTACCCACTCCAGTATTCTTGACTGGAGAAAAACTAAGTAAGAGAAGTTTCTCTATTCCTAAAGTGTAACAAGGTTTTAAGAACAGGGCATGCTACATAGATTGACAGCACCAAGTAGGGACAGGTCTGTTCTTGGAAAATCTTGCAATGCTTCCTCCACCTAGTTATGCTTGAGTCTTGACATTAGAACATCCTCCAGACTCTCAAATTTACACTTCAATAGTCTCCATGTTCTTCATACTCCAGAAGAAAAGAGATTAACTCCACTTTTGAACCTGATCTAATTTTTTTTTTAAACTTCACTTGAATGAGTTAGGTATATTCAACTCTTTTAATTTGAACTTACTTTCTCATTTTGGGGCCAGGTTCTATACTTGTAAAATATTTTTAAACCTTCTTTATTTTTATTTATTTTTTATTTTTTTTATTAGTTGGAGGCTAATTACTCACAATATTGTAGTGGTTCTTGTCATACATTGACATGAATCAGCCATGGATATACATGTATTCCCCATCCCGATCCCTCCTCCCACCTCCCTCTCCACCCGATCCCTCTGGGTCTTCCCAGTGCACCAGGAACCTTCAAGTGAAATAAAATACTCCTTTAAGACTGAGTCATCCATTCCATTTTGAACTATGTAAAAGCGAATACCAAGTTTGAATGAGTGATCATTTTTCAGCCAGTCATGTGGAAAGTGTTGCAACACAGGTTAGAAGCTGGAGTTCCCAGTTCTCCAATCAATCATGTTCCTATATTTTAACAGATGCCATGCTCTTGGTGGCAGAGCGACTGGAAGGACCATTCAACATTGAGTCAGTCATGGACCCAATAGACGTCAAGATCTCTGAAGCCATTATGAACATGCAGGAAAACAGCATGCAGGTGTCTGCAAAGGTATTTGCCTTAGTCATTTATCTAATAAGCAAAGGGGAGTCATCTGAAAATGAAGTAATGGATACTGGCTGGGATTGTAAACTCTAATATGTTGTCCATGAGATTTTCCTGTCACATGACAAATTTGCTACTTCATTAAAACTGTCTAACAAAATGGCATTGAGAAAGGAAGTAAGCTTTTCCTTTGCAGTTCCTCAATCATGAAGAAATTATTGGCTGCTAAAAAGTTTTAGAGAGCCCCAAGTATATTGACTAATCCCTCACATTTGTGAGCAATTTGGGGAGAATTTTCTTTTTAATGGTTGCAATTTCTGCACACCCTCACCCTATTCTCTCTCTCTAGGAACTTCTAATTATGTCCTCAGCTGCACAAACCAGGCAAATGTTCTCTATGTTCACTCGTAAATTATTAAACATTCCATCTGACTTCCTTTTTTTAAGACGATAATGTAACCCTCGTTAATGAATCGTCAGAGGAAAATGCTGCTTTGTATAAAGTCAAACACACATTTTTAAAAAATAGTAAGTTTTTATAAATCAAACAAGACAGATTCGGGGTTTTTAGCTGCAGAACACAAATATCAAGTGCCCAATTTTTTAAATTTTTAGAAAAATTTTATTGGAGTATAGTTGATTTACAATGTTGTGTTAGTTTCAGGTACAGCCAAATAAATCAGTCATATTTATGCATATATCCACTCTTTTTAAAATTCTTTTTCCACATAGGCCATTACAGAGAATTGAGTAGATAGAGTTCCCTGTGCTCTACACTAGGTCCTTATTAGTTACCTATTTTATATATAGTATTATGTGTGTGGCCATCCCAATCTTCTAATTTATCCCTCTAACCTCCTGTAACCAGAAGTTTGTTTTCTACATCTGTCACTTTATTTCTGATTTGTAGGTAAGTTCACTTGTCCTCTTTTTTCAGAATCCACATATAAGTGATATCCTTATATGATATCAGTGATATCAGTGATATTTGTCTCTCTCTGTCTGACTTACTTTACTCAGTATGACAATCTCCAGGTCCATCCATGTTGCCGCAAATGGCATTATTTCATTTTTATTATTTCGTTCATTAATTTGTTCTTTTTTATGGCTGAGCAATATGCCACTGTATATAAGTACCACCTCTTCTTTATTCATTCCTCTGTTGATGGACATTTAAGTTGCTTTCATGCCCTCAGAATGGGAGAAAATATTTGCAAGCAAAGCAACTGACAAGGGATTAATCTCCAAAATATACAAACAGCTTATACAGCTCAATATAAAAAAGAAACAAATAACCCAATCAAAAAGTGGGTGGAAGATCTAAATAAACCTTTCTCCAAAGAAGACATACAGGCCAGTAGGCACCTGAAAAGGTGCTCAGCGGTACTCATTATTAGAGAAATGCAAATCAAAATGACAGTGAAGTATCACCTTATATTAGTCAGAATGGTCATTATCAAAAAATCTACAAACAATAAATGCTGGAGAGGGTGTGGAGAAAAGGAAACCCTCCTACACTGTTGGTGGGAATTGAACCTGATATAGCCACTATGGAGAACAGTAAACGTGTGTGTGTGTGTGCGCACGCGCCTGTGTGTGCTCAGTCGTGTCTGACTCTCTGCAACCCCCTGAACTATAGCCTGCCAAGCACCTCTGTCCATAGGACTTTCCAGGTAAGACTACTGGAGTGGGTTGCTATTTCTTTCTCCAGGGGATCTTCCAGGGATCAAATCCATGTCTCCTGTGTCTCCTGCATTAGAGGGCAGGTTCTTTACCACTGAGCCACCTGAGAAGCCCTCAGAGAACAGTATAGAGATTCCTTAAAAAACTAAAAATATAGCAACCATATGACCCAGCAATCCCACTCAAGGGCATATATTCAGAGAAAACCATAATTCGAAAAGATATGTGTACCCCAATGGTCACTGCAGCACTGTTTACAATAGCCAGGAAATGGAAGTGCACAATTTTTATTTATCCCCACCCAGTTGAAAACAAATAGGACCCACCTTAAGCAAAATTTAAAAGTTTGAAATGAGTCTCCAGCCTTTCCTTCATCACCTCGTTTATCCACACTGATGACCACACAATGCCCTTCTGTTCTTCTTTACCAGTCTCCCTGTTCTGAAACACTACCCAAAACTGCCCCGGTCCTTTAAATCTGGTGATGGAGTGATTGCATTTTAACTGAAAGTCATTCATACAAAAATATGTCAGACCATGAGCTGCGTGTTTAACTCTCCTCAGTATTTAAAGTCCTTTGTGAAAAAGACTTCAAATATAATCAAGGAGAAAAGTGGTGGGGAAAATTGCAGAGCAGAAAGAAATCCATGGAATTTGACGCGGTCTCCTGGGCTGAGTGTGAATCAAACTAGCTTTGGACTTTTTGGGGAGCACTGCTAGAAAATAGGGTGAGCAAGAATCTGGCCTTTGCCCCTTTCTCTCTCTCTCTGAAAGGTGAGAGGGGCTGAGAGTTTCATAATCCTAACATCCAGGTTTTAGTGCACTTCGGCTGCGTCTGTGCTAAGTCACTTCAGTCACACATGACTCTTTGTGACCCCATGGACTGTATCCTGCCAGTCTCCTCTGTCCATGGATTCTCCAGGCTAGAACGTTGGAGTGGGTTGCCATTTCCTTCTCCAGGGGATCTTTCCCACCAGGGATTGAATCCACATCTCTTATGTCTCTTGCATTGACAGGCGAGTTCTTTACCACTAGCGCTACCTGGGAGCTTGGGTTAATCTGTGTAAAGAAAAAAAGAAGAATGCTCCAAAGTTCTATCACCTATTGAGAAAATAGCATATTTGGGAGTTCCATGAAAATCTATTTTCTTTCTTTCCTGTGTGTGTGTGGGGGGGGGGGGGGGAAGCAATTATCTATCCCTCTCAAATCTATTGCCTAGAAACCAACTAATGTTATTTTTTTTTTAACTTTTTAAAATTTTGTATTGGGGTATAACCAGTAAACAATGTTGTGATAATTTCAGTTGAACAGCAAAGGGACTCAGTCATACATATACATGTATGCATTCTCCCCCAAACTCCCTTCCCATCCAGGCTGCCATATAACATTGAGCAGAGTTCCCTGGTGGAGTAGGTCCTTGTTGGCTATCCATTTTAAATGTAGCAGTGCGGACATATTCATCCCAAACTCCCTAACTATCCCTTCCCCCTAGCAACCATAAGCTCATTCCTCTAAGTCTGTGAGTCTCTTTCTGTTTTGTAAGTAAGTTCATTTGGTAGTTCAAACTGTAAAGGATCTGCCTGCAATGCAGGAGATATAGGTCAATCCCTGGGTTGGGACGATCCCCTAAAGAAGGAAATTGCAATATGCTTCAGTTTTCTTGTCTGGAGAATCCCATGGACAGAGGAACATGGCAGGCTATAGTCCATGGTTGCAGAGTCAGACGCGACTGAGCGCACACGCACACACAGTCACACAGTCTTGATGTAGAGAAAAGGAGATGGAGTGAGTTAAGAAGAAGGAACAAGAGGAGGACAGCTAAGCTAAGCTCTGCAGGAAAGAGGAATGGGAGGCGGCATCTGAACTAGAGGACAGCATGGAAAAAGGACCAAAATCAACTTTTAATATAGTGGAGGGGAGGTTGAGTAAGAGGTTGAAATTTGGACAAATTTAGCAGGAAACACCAACAGGATCTGCTGATGGAGAGGACATGTTCTGAAAATGGTTTCATTTCTTCGAGGCAATGGTATTTGGAAACATGGTTTTTCCAGTGGTCATGTATGGATGTGAGAGTTGGACTATAAGGAAAGCTGAGCACCGAAGAATTGATGCTTTTGAACTGTGGTGTTGGAGAAGACTCTTGAGAGTCCCTTGGACTGCAAGGAGATCCAACCAGTCCATCCTAAAGGAGATCAGTCCTGGGTGTTCATTGGAAGGACTGATGCTGAAACTGAAACTCCAATACTTTGGCCACCTCATGCGAAGAGTTGACTCATTGGAAAAGACCCTGATGCTGGGAGGAATTGGGGGCAGGAGGAGAAGGGGATGACAGAGGATGAGATGGTTGGATGGCATCATCGACTTGATGGGCATGAGTTTGAGTAAACTCCAGGAGTTGGTGATGGACAGGGAGGCCTGGCGTGCTGTGATTCATGCGGTCGCAAAGAGTTGGACACGACTCAGCGACTGAACTGAACTGAACTGAACTGAGTTTCATTTTCCATATAAGCCAAATCCATGAAATTATCTATGAACACACGTCTAAAATCTACATTCTCGCTAGGAACAGAAACAGATTGCTAAATTTTTCCTTTTGCCAAAGAACCGTCAGTCATTTTTGATAAACAGTCCTATCAAATTGGAAATTCTGAATTTCTAGTCTTTGGATGGAGCATTCACATAACCAGTGACTAGGTTAATTTCTGATAGAGAGCTTCTGGTCTCACCAGAAGCTCTTTCCTAAATGCAAGGGCCAGACACCCTGAGAGCTGTGAAGCTTACAAATTAAAATCACTTCTTACTCCAGGTTTGACTGGCAACTTCTGCTTGAAAAATCATTTACCTTATTACAGCAGTTACTCATGGAAGTCATTCCTAGAGTCTCTTTAAGTAAAGCAGCAGTGTTTATAACTGGCAGCTCATATTTGTTGAACACTTACTGCCAGGACTCTATTGTGCATTACATGGTTTATATTATGTAATATTTATAACAATGCTTGCAGTGAGATAGATCTTCTCCCGTATTTTCCAGATACATAATCTATGGCTCAGAAAAGTTAGGGAACTTACAAAGGTCTCATGGAGTACACAGAGGAGTGGCTGACTCCAGAGACCACATTGCTTATCATTGCATTTTAATGATGAAGGTTCCTAAAAAGCCAATCCCACACAAGGGCAGGATTCAGCAAACCTTTGCTGAATAGATCAAGTATTAAGGGAAAGTTCAATAGCTTTAAGTAAAAACCTGCCCAAGACAGTAAGGAAACAGGGGCAGCAAAGCCAAGTTTTCTACCTTTCTCTCTGATTCCCTTTGCAACTATACC